GAGCAGCAGCCAATGGCTCGCAGACCGGCACCGGTCCACGGACCACCACTTTGAGTAGCACTGTTTTAGAGGATACTGTATTGATAATTTAGGAAGACACTTGCACTTTTCAGAGATCAATTTCATTGTCATAAAAATTTGCACACACTTATACTTAACAATACTAAGCTGTCATACCAATCAATATGATATGCCTGGAAATGGCAAATTAACTCATTAAGGGCTGTGATATTACATAGTGTCCCAATGAATCCATAAGACTATTTTTTAACCACATTGCTCCAACATCATCCAGCACTGGCATATTATCAGTATCATACCACTTCAGTATAATGCCAGATTTGCATGCTGAAGATGTATTTTCCCCTCCTCCTGCATAGAGATCAGCATGCGACAATCTCCCATTATTACTGACTGAATTTATGCACAAGAATTCCTATTCATTGAAAAGAGAATGGAAGTCTAAAAGTGCAAATAGACTACAAAGATAGCTTTAGTGTCTGAACATGGCTTAGATAGCTTACCCAAACTGACTAGGAAGAGAAATAAAGCTTTCCAGATGGCCACTGCTGTTAAGTAGAACAAAAGACCGCTGGAAGCTGTAGATTTGTACACAAAATCTGACCCAGCATGTACTACTTATTCATAACTTATTTTTAGGACTTGATCCTGCTCTTTGGTATGAGAGCACGCTTCCCCAGATTCTGTACCTTGGGAAATCAGCTATTGCATTCCCTCATATTTGCATAGTGAGCATTACTATAAGGACTAGGGCCTTGTGCCCTGATGCAGTGTCTTGGAGCAGATCTTATTGTTAACACCGTCATCTTAGAAATGTTTTCTACAAATCCATTACAAAAATTATATTTGGGAAGATATTTTTAATTATGTGCACTACCAAACCATAAAAATAGGCACTGTGAATTGCTTGTTTGTTTCTCTGCTACATCTCATCCAGCTCTAGATAGGTACTGCATTTCCCAATATAAATTTCTGATCTAATTAAACAGCCATAAGGGCACAAGGCATTTTCTGGGATGTGAGGGAAGTGAAAACAATCTCGGAGGACCTGATGGCCACAGGCTATACCTCAGGCCATTAATCTTAGCCAGTCATCAATCCCTAGAATATGTTGTGTTTCAAGGTGGCTGCTATTACAAGTTGAAGATGAAGACAAACAAAAAACCAAACCATTAGCATATTGGTATATGGATTTTTTTTTATTGGGAGCTGTAGTTTCAATAGGTATGTACAGGACATTTCTAGAGAATTAATTCCCTATACCTCAGCTGGTTACACTGATTGAATTAATTTCAGAGCATTCCATTCATCTTAAAATAGGAACTAATTACAGGAGTATGGTCAGTATGCATCTTGGATATCTTGCAGAGCTAGCCTCTTGGGATGCTGGATGAACGGTAACCAAAGTTGAATGTACAGTGATAATTACATTACACCCAATGTACATTATACCCAATGATAATAATGCTCTTAGTCCATTTTGTTGTTTAACTTCTATGCTCCCAGAGATCTATTGATTATAGCAGAGTGCTTCTATATTTGTCTTTAAAAATAACTACCTTAAAAAACAGAGCCAATTAGGATGGTTATAGAATGCTATTTCTTTACCCCAGCTCAATGAGATAGCTAGCATAAAATATCTCAGTGGACAAGGTAGCGTTGGCTGGGGAAAAAATGGATGTATTAAGACTCCTCAAAACTGCCAATACTTAAAATTTTAAAGTTATTTAGGATCTGTTGCACAATTTCTGTATTTGAAAATAAAGTACTCCAGCAATTAATTTTATTAGTTTGTATTGCTGAAGTGCCAAAGTCTTCAGCCATATTCAGTGCCCTGCTGCATGAAGTTGCTGTACCAGCACACAAGAAGATGCAGTCCCTGTTACAAATAGCTAACAATCTAATTTAAGACCTCATCGATTTAGTCTCTCAAACTGTACAAGGAAAGCAGGGAGGAAGGAGGGTAACAGCGAGAAGAAAACCTGGTTCCATAGGCTCGCTACATCCACAGTTTAGTTGTAACATTAAGATTAAGAAGGCTAAAGTCAGGAAACCTATCAGCCAAAGTTCTTGTAGTATCCCGGCACTTTTTTCTGCTCTTGCTTTTCTTAGAGAGATGAGGTCATGAGATATCTTTTATTGGACCAACTTCTGTTGATGAGAGAGACAAGCTTTTGAGCTTACATAGAGCTCTTCTTTGAGCCGTCTTCCGACCTGAAGAAGAGCTCTGTGTAAGCTCGAAAGCTTGTCTCTCTCACCAACAGAAGTTGGTCCAATAAAAGATACTACCTCACCCACTTTGTCTCTCTCTCATATCCTGGGACCAACATGGCTATAACACTGCCTACTTGCTTTTCTTGTTATATAAGAACTGCAAATGTTTATACTACTAAAAGCATGTAATAAAATATACAGGATGTGCTGTTGAAGGTGGCTGAGTCAATGTTTTTGCAGTATCCTCTACCCTTGAACCTTCCTGAACTCTGCTTTCTTTGCGTCTCTCTTCATATTTCATTAATGATGGTTTTATACATTTGATTAAAGGAGAATGAAGAAATGGAGCTCTGGAGATAGCTACTGTTTGCTGTGGTTTCTCTGGTGTCTGTATAGATCTCCTTGTGTACAGCTCTTCTCATACTTAGTGCAGAGAAATGTTCACTCTGTTGTGTGGACTGGGAATTTTCTTCTGAGTAAAACTTTTCCTGCACTCAGTGCATCCCTTTTGAATGGCATCCCTGCTCCTTCAGCTGTAAAGATTTCCTCATAGTCAGGGCATGTACATGGTCTCTCTACAGTGTGATTTCTGGTGTGTTTGGAAATCTCCTATAATGGTAAAACTTTCCCCACATTCAGTGTGTGTGGATGGTTTATCTCCTGTGTGGATTCTATGGTTTTCTTGGAGATATTCCTTTTCCACCAAGCTCTTCCCTCGTCCAGTGCATGTAAATAATCTTCTGGTGTTTGGGAATATTTTGGGAATCCCTCAGAAAATAGTTTTTTTTTTTCCTCATATACATTGCAGATCTACTGTGTGTGTTCTCTGATATCTATTAATCTCTACTGTCCTAGTCAATCTTTTTTCCTCACACTCAGTGAATCTAAATCCAAGGCTACTGTGTGCTATAAGTAGATAGATTTTAGGTGTGATCTAGGGACATGAGAAGTAATAATACTATTATTCCTTGTACTTTTATGGCATTTTTCATAGTAAGATCTCAAAGCACTTTACAAAGATGACTATGCTTTATAATGTACAGATTGGGTTGCTGAGGCACAAAGATAAAATTACTTCCCCAGTGTGAGAAGCAGTAAAATACAGGTCACTTCACAAAAAGCCCCAAGTTTTATTCCCTGTAACAGGGCAGTCTCTTTCCTAGCTCCAGATTTGTCCAGTGGCCTGAAGGTAAGACTAGCAATTAACTGCCTGTACCATTCTTCCAGAAATGAGAGAATACCGCCTCACATGTGAAGTAGGGATTTTCTGGAAGGGTCAAAAGCATGTGAGGATATATGTACAGACACTTCCAATCAGTGGGAGAAAGCTAAGCATGAGGAGGCTGGAGAAGGATCTGAGCAGAAGGTGTACAGGGAAGCTGAGGGAGAGATTGAGTGGTGTTAGGGGTAATACTGGTTTCTGTATTCTCACAAAATTCTGTGTTCAGTAATAAAATGAAGGCAATTCTTTCTGTGATCATTTACCATTGTCACATAGAAATAATTACCTGGCATTGTTGGCATTGTGGGGTTTGTTTGGGGTTTTTTAAGCTAATTTCCTGATACTGTGGCTTCTCTTCAGGAAATTTTACTATGGGAGAATGGTGTTCCAGCATGCTGGTAAGTTCAAGTGTATGTGTAACAGAGAGTTGCAGAGAGTAGGCATTGTACTACTCACACAATTTTAATTTCATGTAATGAATGGCATTTTTCTTATGGAAGAAGTACTCAGTTTTCTTCAGGCACCAAAACCTGGTCCCATCACAGTCAGTGGGAGTTTTGCCATTGACTTTACTGGGTCCAGTGTTTGGGCCTATAAATTTTAGTAATTATTCATCCACAAAACAACAGCAAAACTGTTCTCAAAATACACATTCCCCAAGTGACAATTTTCCCTTTTAATGGGTTTCTAAATAATATAAAATCTTGTCATTTTCAGTTCTGAATGTAGCTGGGACAGTGTCAGTAAGTAAATACCATCAACAAGCTGTTCAAAATTGATTCAGAAAAATCTGCGAACTTGCAATTAGAAATAGACAGGAGACAGAAGTACCTGTCCAATCCACATGACACACTATGGATACCCCAGCTTTATATCTCCAGTGGGTTCCTGAGTTTTCAGAGCAACAGTGTTACTTCGTGACATACCACCCAGAAAGACAATGGATTAGATCCTGAGCACGCAAGAATCTCTTGGCACTGCAGTGCAAAGACAACTTGAATGTGGCTGTCCTACAGTATAATTTTAAGTATGTGAGAAGTCCCATCGAAATCAACAAAACTACTGAGACAGTCTGTACCCTTCTGTTCACCCCCTTTCAAGACTATGATAAATTTTGTACAAAGTATGCCTTGCGAGGTATCATTCGAAAACTGATAATTTGATGATCATCATTGTCCTGGTAAAATAGCAGTGTAGCAACATTGTATGTAAAGTTATAAAATTCTACTGTATGACATTACTGAGATGTATTCCAAATTTAGAAAAGCAGCACAAACCAGTTCCTCAGACAAAAGGCACACTGATGATTCAGTCAATGAAATCAAATGGATGATCACCTGGTTAAGTGGCCATTCTTTGATAAGAAAAAGGGTGTACATTTCTTGCTCACACCTTGGCAAAAGAACAGCTGGAGGTTCCCCTCTCCACAGACTTTGTCTCCTGAACCCCAACTAGAGATGATACTCGAAGAAGAGGAAAAAGTATAAGAATGGGGAATAGATGCCCCAAGTTATTCCTCCTTTCTCTCTCTCTCTCTCCACAGCATCCACAACACCTGAAGAATAAAGGAAAAAGGTTTGGACTAGAGAGGGATCCTGACCGAAAGATTCTGCCAGTAAAACTGCTAAAACGTGTGGTGAGAGAGATTTGCTTTGAATTCACCTAGCTTGTTAAGTTAATTTGTCATGTTTTACCTTCATTTTCTTGTAACCAACTCTGACTTTTAAGCCTCATGACTTTTAATCCCTTAAAACTACAGAAAGATAGATTTTATTGTTTTCTCTAAACCAGTGTGCTTGGATTGAAGTGTTTTGGGGAAACTCCATTTGGGATAACAGGATTTGTGCATATCATTTTCTATCAATAAAATCACACTTTATATGAGTTTGTATGGTCCAGGACGAGCTGGGCAGTACAAGACGCACATTTCTGGGGGTAAGTCTGAGACTGGGAATTAGCCTATGCTGCAGTATAATTCAAGGGTGGCTGGCTGTACCACTCTTTGCAGTATAATGGGGAGTAATGTACATGCAAGGGGATAAGCTAAATGAGGAAACATAGCTGTTGAGTTGAGATTTGGAGTTAGATGGAGAGGTAGAGGGAGGCTGTTCCAGATGGCAAGAGCTCCAGAAGAGAATGTTGTCTGGGTCAGATTCTGATCAGATTACTCTGAAGGCCCAAATCTCAAAAAATTTTATTGAAGTCAGTGGAGTTACTTTGGTATAACTGAAATAAGAGTCTGATCCTATGTGTTAAGAGCCCTCCTGGAACACTCCCGTGGGAGGAAATCTAGATGTTCTATGGGGTTCCATAGTGGGAATCTAAGTCTCCTTACTCCAAACTATAAGATGTAATAGTTCTTCAGAAATGTCATTTGCTCTTAAATTCTATAGGCATTTAGAAATACTTTCTATACAGCCTTACTGATTTCAACCCTATTATATTCTGTATGTAAAAATCACACCAATGGACTGAAAGCCCACAAAACCCTCTACATCAGTTAAGCCTGAGTGCTGTGGTACCAGTCACTGTACCTTTGGACTACCTCAACACTAGGAGCTAGTGATTCTCCTACTTATGTACATATATTCATGCTAGCTCTCATCAAGCTAGCGTGAGTAGAAGTAGAAGTGTAGCCATGGTAGCAGCAGTAGACTCATGGTTGAGCTGTGCTGACTACAAACCTGCGTGAAACCAGTGGGTATATACCCAGCATGGTTCAGCAGTGCCCCTGACACATGACCCATGCTACCATAGCTACACTGTTATTTGTGTTAATGCTAGTTCAGTGAGAGCTAGCATGAGTAGGAGTACAGGAGCATGGGAATCACACCCCTAGCTTGTAGTTTCAGAGTAACAGCCGTGTTAGTCTGTCTTTGCAAAAAGAAAAGGAGTACTTGTGGCTCCTTAGAGACTAACCAATTTATTTGAGCATGAGCTTTCGTGAGCTACAGCTCACTTCATCGGATGCATACCGTGGAAACTGCAGTAGACATTATATACACACAGAGACCATGAAACAATACCCCCTCCCACCCCACTGTCTGCTGGAAATGGCCCACCTTGATTATCATGCACATTGTAAGGAGAGTGGTCACTTTGGATAAGCTATTGCCAGCAGGAGATTGAGTTTGTGTGTGTGGTTTTTGGAGGGGGGTGAGGGGGTGAGAGAACCTGGATTTGTGCAGGAAATGGCCCACCTTGATTATCATGCACATTGTGAAGAGAGTGGTCACTTTGGATGGGCTATTACCAGCAGGAGAGTGAGTTTGTGTGTGGGGGGGGGCGGAGGGTGAGAAAACCTGGATTTGTGCTGGAAATGGCCCAACTTAATGATCACTTTAGATAAGCTATTACCAGCAGGAGAGTGAGTTTGTGTGTGTATGGGGGTGGGGGGGGTGAGAAAACCTGGATTTGTGCTGGAAATGGCCCACCTTGATTATCATGCACATTGTAGGGAGAGTGGTCACTTTTGATAAGCTATTACCAGCAGGAGAGTGAGTTTGTGTGTGTGGTTTTTGGAGGAGGGTGAGGGAGTGAGAGAACCTGGATTTGTGCTGGAAATGACCCACCTTGATTATCATACACATTGTGAAGAGAGTGGTCACTTTGGATGGGCTATCACCAGCAGGAGAGTGAGTTTGTGTGTGGGGGGGGTGGAGGGTGAGAAAACCTGGATTTGTGCTGGAAATGGCCCAACTTGATGATCACTTCAGATAAGCTATTACCAGCAGGACAGTAGGGTGGGAGGAGGTATTGTTTCATATTCTCTGTGTGTATATAATGTCTGCTGCAGTTTCCACGGTATGCATCCGATGAAGTGAGCTGTAGCTCACGAAAGCTCATGCTCAAATAAATTGGTTAGTCTCTAAGGTGCCACAAGTACTCCTTTTCTTCTAGCTTGTAGTGTACCCTTAGAGGTTTAGCTTCCAAGACAGGAAGTCTGCAGGAGGGGAAGCTACAGAAGTCCATGCTCTGCTGTGCAGAGACAACTGGGGAACTGCATCACCAAATGAGGATCTTCTCCAAGCACCTTGGGCCCTGAATGAGTATTGAATACAACAAGGTGCCAGGAGTAAATAGAAAATAATCTGAGTGGAAGAATGGAGAAGCTAAAAGCTCTACCAGACTTGAAAATATGGAAGACAACTGGAAGTGATTCAAATTGTTAATGATATCAAGAGTACTAAAGTTTACACAGATGTTTTGATCTGGGGAAGAACAATAGAAGAGCATGACCAGAGACTCCAAGCAGCTTTAGAAAGCACCAGAGCTGCTGGGCTAATTAGCTAAACAAAAGTATAAATTCTATGGAACTGAAATAACACTCCTGGGGGAAAAGTTAACACAACAAAGTATACAGGTAGATCACAGCAAGGTTGAAGCTGTCAACAACATGCCTGCTCCAACAGACAAGGAAGGGATACGAAGATTCCTTGGAATGGTGAACTTTGTAAGGAAAACAATGCTTAATCCATCTACTCCAAGCAGCAACCTGAGAGCACCGCTGTGCCGCATTGTCCAATGGACCTAGAAAAGGGGTTAATTAAAGAGGCCCCAGTCCTGAGATATTATGCTTCAAAGGAGGGTTGTGTCACAGTCCTCTTACAATCGTATGATCCAACCTGGAGACCAGGGGCTTCTGTGTCATGGGCAGTAATAAAAACAGAGTATGAGTATGTTCAAATAGAGAAGGAGGCTTTGGCCTTAGTCCAGGGGTGAAAAAACTTTTCATCTCTTCATTTATGGGAGGCCTGTGATCAGCATTCCCTCTAATTTTTGACAGGCTGTGTGCTCAAAAAATTTATTCTGTGCCAATTTTTGTGCTCGCAGTGTTTCGCCGTGTGTTTCGCCGTGTGTTTCGCATGCACACAGCTTAGAGGGAACAATGCCTATGATAGCTGAAACTGACCACAAACTACTTATTGCCTTTGCCAAAAGGAGCCTGGCAAATAGCCCCCCAAGAATACAAAGATTATTTTTTCGCTTACAAACGTATGATTTGTAAATTTAATCCAAATGTGGGAGGGACTTGGTGGTTGCAGACAGGCATTCTACAGCATTTGACAGAAGTGCGGTGGAGCACAGTCCAGAGCTAGATGTACACATCAGTTTGATAAAACAAAACCTGTCAGGTCTCAGATGAATGTAGACCGTGATTGGCAGACCAACAGCTCAGGATGAAACCCTGCAGCATGTTCCCAACCCCTATCACCAATTCAGGGGGGAAGCTCTTGGGTCCAAATGGACTTGTGTTTAAAGACGCCAGGGTAGCGATCCCTAAAATGCTCCAGGAAAAAATATATTAAAAGGATACATTAAGGTCATTGAGGAACTGAAATATCAAAGAAAAGGACTGGAGAGGTTTTATACTGGCTTCAAATGAGCAGCAACACTGAGGAAGTTGTTAAGGCTTGTCACATTCACCAAAAATACAGGCAAAATCAAGCAAAAGAGCCTATGCTGGTGGAACAGGAAAAATTGGCCTCCTGGAGCAAAACAGGAATAGATTTGTTTATGTTGACTGGACAAAACTATGTACTCATTGAAGACTATTCTTCTTCCTTCCCTTAGAGATCCTTACTAGAAGCTATCACAGCTAAACAAGTGATTGTGCATGTCAGATCTGCTTTTGCTAGACATGGTATACCAGACATAGTAATCTGACAATTGGCTATAGTTTAGTGGGCACTAGTTTAAGAAGTTTGCAATGAAGCACAGGTTTAGATATGTAACCATTAATCACCATTATCTGCAATCCAATGGGTTGGTGGAAAATGGTGTTAAAATATAAGGGGACTATTGGAAAAAGGCTGTGAAGTCAGACTTGATCCATACTAAGCACTGTTAAATTACAGTATGGCACCAATGAAATGTCACCTGCAGACATTTTATTTAATTGAAAATAGAGGACAAGAATGTCTGTAATGAGAGAAGCTGATGTAAGTGTCACTGGGAATTTGCAGATGTATAAAGAGACAGATAAAGCTAAACAAAAAATTCAATCTGATTTGGGTTCCTGGGAGCTGCCACCATTCAGTGAACATGAGACAGTGCATATCTAATGGTAATCAGTGATTGCAAACAGCAGTGGTGTCATATAGGGTTGTCCTGTGTGCAGTCCGTTACTCCAGACAGGCTTACACCGAGAAGGAATTAGCAATGCCTCCAGCTTCCAGAAGGGAGGGAGATAAGGGGCATTGAGTTTGCTGTTTTGCCAGAGAAGGTCTCTGGCAACAACCACAAGGGGACAAGACAACCAAGCCCCAAGATATAAGACTGTTAGAACAAATGGGCTTGCCACCTCTTGATAATGATAGTACAGCTATTTCAAGGGAAATGGAGAAGTCCACGGGATAGTACAAGACACCCTCAGAGGTTAATTGAATACTATTATTAAATTTAATTAGTAGATTGGTTATTAGCATTTGAATTGTGTGTTATATCAATGTTGCTTATTAAGTGTTGGTGGTGGTACGTTTTGGCTGGGGCAGGAAGATGTTGTATTGGGAACTGTACCTTTAAGAGGTTTAGCTTGCCAGACAGGGAAGTTTGTGGGAAGGGCGCTGCCAAAGCCCATGTTTGGTTATGCAGGGGCAGATGGGAAACTGTGTCACTGAATAAAGAGGATCTCTT